AGATGTCCCCAGACCCTGCATCCCATCTCCTTCCTGTGCTGCATGCCACTGCCACGTCAGTGCTCGCCTGCCCGCCCGGCAGGTCCTGCCGGTTGCCATGGCAATGCTGTGCCTGCCAGGAGATGAAGTTTGCTCTCCTATGCTGCAGTAAAGGGCCAGGGAGATGAGCTCCCCCTGCCATCCCAGGCTCTGCCCATCATCCCACATCCTGGAGTGTTGCCCCAGGGTTTTCTCCTCTAGTTGTCTCCTCCAGTTCTGGGCTCCGTGTGCTTCACAGGCCATGGACCTGCTGTCTGCATGTCAAGGCGTATCCTTTGGTGGGATATCGCCCCACCGCGGGAGCTGCCTTCTGCCAGCCATACTGCCCAGGATGTAGCAGCAGGGACAGCAGGGGCTCGGGGTAGCCTCAATGTACTGCATGGCCCTGCTGCCCTCCCCAGACCACTGCACTGTGAGGGGTCCTGGCAGGGCTCTCACCCTTCTGCTCCATCTGCTCTGCCCAAAGAGGTGATTTTTCAGGCTGCCCAGCAGCAGGGATAGGCATGGCTGGTGCCAGAGCTGCCTTTACTCCCCTGCCTGGCTCTTCCCTTGCACCTAGGGTGAGGCAGCTCTGACCTGTCTTGCAGACAGACCCCACAGATCTCTCCTTGCCCTCAGCCCTGCCCCACCTCCCAGAGGCCCTGCCCCTGGCCCCATGGGACAGACATGGGGCACACTTGGCACCCCTATGGCCAGCACACAATGTGCTTGTGCCCATCACACACAGCAGGCACGGCCCAGCAGTGCCCCTGCTCCAAGCCCTGCACTTGACCCCCAGACCAGGACCAGGGGGTGCCCCTCGTGCGTCTTTGGGTGCATGGTGCTGCACCTCATCCCAGCATCTCAACCCTCCCTGCAGTACAAGGATGACCAGGGCCAGTGAAGGACAGATGGAGCTAGGGTTAGGGTTACGCCTAGGGTTAGGGTTTTGAAAACCACAAAGCCCAGGGCTCCAGGCACACTGCAGCTGCAAAGGGCATCCCAAGGGGAACACAAAACTGCCACAACATGCCTTCCTCCACAGCTTTTTCCCTGGAAAAAAGCTATGAGCCCTGCAACCAGCCTGGGATCAACCCCTGTGGCTCCATCCTGCACCCACTGCCTGCTGAACCCCTCTCCAGCCTGTCAGAGCTGTCAGCAGCTCCAGCTCTGCTTCAAAGGGGCCTCAGAAGGGCATGGCAGCTGTTTCTCCTAGCACTGGAAGTGCTTTCAGTAGTGGTGGGGAGCATGAGCTCACCATCCCAGCGAGGACAACAGTGACATTTGGGAGGCACAAACAGAGTGTGATTAGCTGATAACCTTTCCTGAGAGATCCCAGGTGTGTGCACCTGGGAGGGAAAAGGGAGGGGGATGAGGCCCCTACACTGTGAGCCTCTGGAAAATGCTCCAAATGCCCCAGCCTGCCCCTTCACACAGGACAAGGAGAGTGCCCCAAGCTGAGGCCAGCTGACCCTAGAGCCTGGGCACTCTGAGTGTGGCCACCCCTCTATGGCATCTGCAGCCCAGCTGTGTCCATCTGAAGGGCTGCTTCCAGGACCCTCACTGCACTGGGAGCCCTCACAGAGGGTGGGGCAGCCCCCCAGCACATCCCACAGGAATCCACAGGGAGACACAGCATCCTCCTGCATGCGGGCAAGCAGAGGAGGATGTGGTTTCAGAGCAAGGTGCCAAGGTCTGCCATTATCAAAGGTGCCAGCTGGGAGCAGGGACCGTGCCCCCACACCTCGCATGGGGCCGTGGGGGGAGCAGAGGTGCTGGGGAGGGGAGGCACAAACAGCACAGCAGAGAAGGTCCCCACGCGTGGTGCCACGCCGTGAGGGAAAGGGACTCCTGCTCAGAGGGTCTGCACATGCGACCTGCCCCCTCCCTGCCCCGCTGAGGAGCACCAAATGCCGGGGGCCGGGATCGGGGTGTCCGGCAGAGAACAGGGAGGGTCTGTGTGCAAGCTGGCAGGAACTGGGCAGGGCCAGGAGGTGCCGGCTGGGGGCTGGGAGGGCGCCGGGGCAGTCTCTGCTCCGCAGCTGGGCCGGGAGCGCTGCCAGCACATTCCTGGGGCTGCCGGGCAGCGGGAGCCTGTGTGGGCGCAGGGCAAGTGCGCGGCCACCGCTGACCTTCCCCGCCGGTCCCACATCACCCCCAGGCAACCTCGACCCCGCGGTGTCCCCAGTGATGCCCCAGCCTCCCGCGGCCGCCTCCAGGCAGGACCACCCCCACGGAGCCGTGCTGGCAGCCCGGCACTGCCCCCGGCAAGGCTGCTCTCTCCCGGGAGCTGCTGCACGCCGTGGCACGCGTGTCCCTGCACGGACAGTGCCAGCGTGCCGTCCCGTGCTGGGACCCCGCACGGCCAGGTGCGCTGTGCTCTCCCAAAAGTCCCTGCTCCACACTGGGTGCAGCCCAGGAACCAGTGCGTGGCTGGGACAGGAAGGGTGAGAGGATGGGGAAGGAGGAGGATGGGAGGGAGCCCGCTCAGCCCACCCACCCAGGCCCAGGGGATGATCGCTGCTGACAAAAGCAAGGTCGGTAGCACCCAAAGCTGCTGCAGGAGAGTGGATGGGGACACAAGGATGGAAGGAGGTGGCCGCGACCCTGCTCAGCTCCGGGGCGCCTCCTGCTTCCCTGCTACAGGATCTGCCCTGTGCTGCAGCCAGGCACGGGTCCTCCCCAGGGAGGGTCTGGAGTGCTGAGGGAGCACCCCCAGGTGATGTGCTCTTACTGTGTCACTCTGGCTGGCCGTCCCCGAGGTCCCCACCGCAGAGGGGGCAGTCCCCATGGCCCCCCTTCCGGTCTCGCTGCTGTGACAAGTGGCACAGGCAGTGACACAAGCGGTGGCACAGCCAGCTTTCTGGAGTGACAGGAGCAAGTGTCTATCTCACAGACAGCTGCATGGGCGCAGAACGGGGATGTGGGCACCGGATCAGCCTGCGCAGACAAGACGCAGGGAAGGGTGCCAGCTACAGCTGTCTTGGGTCCATCCCCTTCTCCGGAGTACAGCCCAGATCAGCCTGGGACATCCTGGGTGGGAAAGGGTTAAGGAAGCAACGCGAATGCAGCAGGGGCTCCCCAGAGCAGAGGCACAGACTTCGCTCGGAGGTAAGGCTGCCAGGACACCCCACGGGGGGAGCAGGGACAGACACCGCTCTTCTGGGGCAGCCCTGCTCCCCACGACACGGCCAGGAGGTCACTCAGGGCTCTAATGAAGGCGTCATGACAGATGAAGGGACTGGGGCAGCTGGCAGGGAGATTCTTGCTCAGCCCCAGCCTCGCCAGCCCCATCACCTTCATCTGGTGAGGTGCCAGCTGGCACAGAGTTCTCAGCACCTCCAACACCTTCCTGGGAGGAGCTGGGGACGTAGAAGCCAGACTGGGCCGTGGGATGGGGCAGGCTGAGAGCCAGGAGCTACGGCTCCATGGTCAAGAGCAGGACAGTGCTGGCAGTGCCACGGGAACAGCCCAGAGACATGGCACACCCGCCACTGTGCTCAGCATCCGTACGCTGGCAGCTCCACCCTGCACACCCGGCCTCCCTCTGCCTCTGCTCCCGGGCCTCACCAGCCCCTTCCCAGCCCAGCTCCCATGGCAATTACACCTTGTCCAAGCCCATCCATCACGGATTAGCTATTTTCTATCAGCATTTATCTCCAGACAATCTTACTCCTACCGTGACAGCCTGATGCCTCGATCACCCTCCCTCCTGCTACCAGGCAGCCTTGATAACAGGCTGCTGTATCTTATCGGGCTCCCCGGCAGTTACACATTAATGGTGCCATCTCCGGGCCAGGTGGGATGAACCCAGCCCACCCTCGGGCTGGAAGCAAGCGTCACTGGGTGATGCAGTGATGGGTGCTGAGCACAGAGGGCATGGGCAGGGCGGGCAGGCTACAGGGAAGGGCAGGTTGTGCAGCTGAGGTTCCCAGCATCACCCCAGAGCAGATGTACCCCACCAGGGCTGGGGGGACAGTCCCTGCCCCCAGCCCAGGGCAAAGAGCAGCTGCTATCACTGCCGGCACTGGACTGTTTGCTCGATCGCCCATTAACAGAGCTGCCTTATCCGGTGGGCAGGGGCCAGCGGCAGCCCTAAGCCAGTTGGCCAGGCAGGGGCATCGATCATGGGAAAGGGAGGGGTGCCCCAGATAACCCCTGCAGACAAATGGGTTTCTAATGGGGTCTTAAGCCTTGCACTCCCCATCTCCAAGGGAATGGGGGAATGTCATCCGGGCAGGACCCTCACGTCACTTGAGCTCTAGCTTTGCCCACAGCCTGAGCACTGGTGGAGCCTGGGTGCAGGCCCTTTGCTGGAAGGTGTAATCCCAGCTATCCTGTGCCAGCAGACCGTGGACTGCCCAAGGTGCATGCTGGCAGAACCATCCATGAGGAATAAGGGCCCCATGCCCATGGCATCACCTTGTTGATGGCACACCTGGCACCTGGGTACAGGAACCCTCCCAGGGCTGCAGCCTGAAGCCTCTGGGGTGTCCTCTTCCTTCAACACCAGCACCCCAAGCACATTGTCTTGGGAGAAAAGAGCAGGGAGTGGGGTGGCACAGGGTAGGAAGCAGAATCTCCTGCCCCATTACAGAGTATACCTCTGGTGTGCTAGGTGGGACGGGGGCAGCGGGACTGGTGAATAACGGGGGCAACTTGTGGCCACAACACATCACCATGGGACAGGCTAGCCAGTCCTTCTAGAAAGCATCACCCCAGGGGCATACAGAGCCAGAGTGGACTGGGGGGCTGCATGCAGGGGGTCTCCCTGCAAGGGCGAGGGGCATTGGAGCACCATGTGCAGGGGAGGGAGGGAGGGAGGGAGGGAGGTAGCAGCGGTGCGGGCAGACTAGGGGGAGCAGGGGGCCAGCCCCGGGGGGCCCAGCAGGCAGAGCAGATTGGCTGCCGGCAAGGTCTCCAACCTCCTTAGAAAGGGCAGCGAGCGTGGGAGGCGCTAAGGGAGCAGGCAGGGTGCCGAGCACGCTCCCGTCCCGCTCGGCAGCCGCGGCCGGCAGCGGCAGGCGCGCAGCGGCGATGCCGCAGGCGGGCATCCACGCGGGGTCCCGGGGCACGGCGCTGCTGGCCCTGTCGCTGGTGCTGGCAGGGTCCCTGGGCGGCGGGCAGCACTACGACTACTATGGGTGGCAGCCCGAGAGCCTGCCCCACGGGCGCTCCTACGGGCGGGAGCCGCAGTGCCTCGACATCCCGCCAGACATGCAGCTCTGCCGCGACGTGGGCTACAAGCGCATGCGGCTGCCCAACCTGCTGGAGCACGACACCATGGCCGAGGCCAAGCAGCAGGCTGGCAGCTGGGTGCCCCTGCTCGCCAAGCAGTGCCACACCGACACCCAGCTCTTCCTGTGCTCCCTCTTCGCCCCCGTCTGCCTTGACCGGCCCGTCTACCCCTGCCGCTCCCTCTGTGAGGTGGTGCGTGACTCCTGTGCCCCTGTCATGGAGTCCTACGGCTTCCCCTGGCCTGAGATGCTGCACTGTGGCAAGTTCCCCTCTGACCACGAGCTCTGCATCGCCGTCCAGTTTGGGAACAGCAAAGCCACGCCGCCACCAGGTAAGCGGGAAGGGTACTGTAATGGGATGGGAATGCGTGTGGAGCCCTGCACAGCCATCCCTTCACCCCTCAAAGCACAGCCCAGGACACCGGTGTTGGCCAAGGACTCTCTGTCTGTAACAGGGCAGGAGTGGGCACAGGATCAGCTTTGTCTGGGCACTCATTGCCCTGGAGCACTGTGCTCCCAGCTGCCTGCATAGAGCTGTCGCGGGATGAGGTGGGAGCCGCTGGCGGATCCACGAGAGTGCTGCGTCCCTCTGCTGCCGCTGGGTCCCATGTCAGCAGCAAGAGAGCATGCTGCACCTGCGGCTGCCAGCCCCACACCGCTGCTGCAGGGTGGCTGTCCCCTCAGGCAGGAGAGGGGACATCACCCCAAGGCAGCCTAGGGTCAGGGTCAGCCTTTAGGCTGGGACCACCCTTACTGTTGCTGTGCTTCAAAGTGCCAGCATCTGATGGGAGGGTGTTCCCATATCTCTTCCCCTCCTGGGGGATGACCCTGGCCAGCAGGGTGCTCTGTGCCTCTCTGCATCACCCTAGCACAGCTATCTGGGGAGCAGAGGAGCTGCTGGGGCTCTCCCAGGCGTGTCCTGGAGGAGCTGGCCCTGGTGACAAGTACCAGCAGCATGAAGCTGTGACAGTAACTGGTCTGTCCCCACAGTGTCCAAGATCTGCACCCAGTGTGAGATGGAGCACAAGGCGGATGGCATGATGGAGCAGATGTGCTCCAGTGACTTTGGTGAGTGCTGGGGTCTCCTTCCCAGCCCCCCTGGACAAGGGTCTGCCTCCCCTAGGTCTGACAGCCAGGATGGGAGTTGGCCAGAGGGTGGGGTTGTATGGGGACAGCCCCATGGGAGACCCCTGAGCCATTCCCTTGGACCCTTCATGCCTGGGATGGGAGCACCACAGGAGAAGACATTGGTGGGGGATAGGGAGAAGACATTTGGGAGAGTCACTGGGGGCCTCTGCTAGACTCCCCCCCAACACCCCCTTTCCCCTCCCCACTCAGTAATGTCCCCAGAGACCCAACCCAGGGATGGGCTGCACCCTGTCCTGCACAGGTGCCTGGCCCAGACCCTCCCCTCCCCAGCAGCGCTCCCTTCCCCAACCGTGCCCCGCGCTGCCCCACACAGTGGTGAAGATGCGCATCAAGGAGGTGACGGAGGAGAACGGGGAGCGGCGGCTGGTGGCTGCCCAGAAGAAGAAGGTGCTGAAACTGGGCCCGCTGAAGCGCAAGGACACCAAGAAGATGGTGCTGCACATGAGGAACGCAGGTGCCTGCCCCTGCCCCCAGCTCGACAGCCTCAGTGGCAGCTTTCTGGTCATGGGCCGCAAGGTGGGCGGGCGCCTGCTCCTCCTGGCCATCTACCCCTGGCAGAAGCACAACAAGGAGATGAAGTTTGCAGTCAAGTTCATGTTCTCCTACCCTTGCCCGCTCTACCACCCCCTGCTTTATGGGGCTGGGCAGCACTAGGGCTTTTTGCCCACTCTGCCCTTTCCCAGAACTCCTGCACTGGCCCAGCATCCCACCCTGGCCTCCCTAGCTGCACCCCAGGACCTCAGCTCTGCTCACCTCAGCCCCTTGGTTGTGCCCCAGAACCCAGCTCTGCACCTGCAGGATTCCCTGCTGTATTTATGGGAGCCCTGATCCACAGCCAGGACACTTGCCTCCTCTCGAGAGCCCTTCTCTGCACCCCTGGGACCTTGTTCTGCTCCAAGGGCCCTCACCCCTATCCAGGAGCTTAGTCTAGACCTGGGACCCTTGTTCTGCATGCTTGTGAGCCCTGCCACACCTGTGACCCCTACCCTGCAGCCATGTCCTCTGCCCAGCTCCCTCATGATATGCCACAGACCCTCAGCCCCCCAGTCCCTATTCCAGCCCACCAACACATCCTATGCCCTCAGCTGGAGTTCACATCCAGCCCTGGATTATCTCACCTTTCAGAGATCCAGCCCAGCCCAGGCAGGTCCCTCTTGCTCCTCTGTTCCCACAGACTGACTCCCTCCAGATCGAGTGCCCAGAGCTGCACAAGCCCTTCCTGGGCTGCCCCACTCCCCACACTGTGCTCAGTCTGTGAGGGGGGTCCACCTCCAAGTGCCCCAGACCAGCCCTGCTGCATCCCTCGCCCACGCCCTGCTGTGACCCAGCCCACTCACCCCTCGGCCGCCACCACCGCAGTAAATTATTCCAGCTCAGAGATGTCTGTGTGCCACTCACTGCAGCTCATGGGTAAGAGCCCCTTGGCGCTCCTTCAGGGACCCCAGAAGAATGGGAAGGGGGTCCCAGTCCTGCTCACTGAGCGAGGCAGCCTGAGAGAGCGAGGTCACCTCAGGATCTGGCTGTAGCCCCACTCCAGGTGCTGTGCCCAGAGCCTGAACATGGGCAGTCCGGCCAAGCCTCCGGCCAAGCCAAGGGATGTAGTTCCTAGTGGTCACAGGCATCCCTGGAGACTCAGGCACCCCTGCCACTCCAGGGAGCCTGGGAGGGCACTGAGATGAGTAGGATGGGGGGACAGGGCCATCACTGCTGCTGGAGCCTCACAGCTGAGTTTGGCAGTGGTTTGCCAGGGAAGTTTCTTCCTTTGTCACCCCAGGGGATCAATCCATGGTCTGGGAGCTCACAGCACTTGTGAGAAGCCTGGCACTGAGCATCACAGTGGGCAGATACCGCACCAGGCAGCCTCCAACCCTGTCCTCCCCACACCATATCATCTGAAAGTCCTCTCTGCAGCTCCCTGCCAGCCCTGCTTGGCTGCCAGACCTCCCATGCCACAACCTCCAGCTTCCTCCAAAATGATTCCTCAGGCCACCCACCTACGCTAGCTAGGACCTTCCCAAAAGCCCAAGGACCAGGGCAGCCCTCAGCCCAGCCCCTCTGATGGCAGCAGGGGCTGTCCCTTAGCTCAGCCGCCCTCCCCAGTCCCAGCAGGAGAGGGGGCAGCTTGAGTGACCCAGTGGTGTTCCAGGTGTGCTTGTATCCAGCCGTCCCAAAGGGTGAGGGGCCGAAGGTGCCTGCCAGGACATTCACCCAGTGCCTGGCTGCCTGACACTCTCTTCTCTTGGGAGCTGGCCCGGCCTCAGGGAGCCTCCTGGGACAAGCAGGAAATTGAGGCTGCAGGATGTCTGCACCCCTCCTCTTCTGGCTGACAAGAGCATTGTGTGCCTGCCCTGCTCTGGGGTGACCTCTTCTCCCTCTGCCCTCCTTGGGCATGGCCTTGGCCCCACTGGTCAGCCTCCAGAGCCCCAAATCCCCGCTCTGGCCAGGGAGAGGTGCCTGTGCCCCTGCCCCACAGCCAGCCAGAAACATGGGTCAACCAGCCCTTGCCCCAGCCTCGCACCAGGAATGGGCCCTGGGAAAAAAATGGGCCCTCCCTGGCCACTGGGAAAAAATGGGAAAAAAATTAAAATATTATTAGGTTTGTTCAGAGCTTGACTGCGGAGCACACTTTCATAGGAATAAACACTGTCAATTACAACATTTTATTGCAAAGCTTAAAAAGCATAAATAAACCCCATCTCCCACAGCCTAAGTTTATCTGTAGCCCTCTGTATTCTGTGTCATTAACATCTTCCCAGAGAGTGTTCAGACATACATGGCCATAGTGTTCATTGCTCCAAGTGTTTTCTCTAGAAATATAAGTGGCTCCTCTGCCTCCCACTGTCAGCTGTCTGAGCAAGCTGACCCCTCCCAGCCCAGTAATATCCCATTGCAGACACCCTCACAAACACACCCACGGCTCTTGCAGTGCTACTCAGCCCCCTCCCCAATGTTACAGCTGCTCCACTGCCCCCACTAACTGCTCAGCCCTCTGCACACCCAGCACAAGCCAGACACCCTCATCATCAAATGCCAAGTCCAGCTTTTCTCCAAATTTCCATGTGAAGGAGTTTATGAGCCCACAGCCAAGACAAGTGTTGAGGCTGCCTGCCACATAGCAGCTCCCACACTAGTGGGATGTAGAGCCTGCAGCGAGGTCTGGGTTCCAGCAACTTCTCAGACTAGTGGGTGTCACAGCCTGGTGGGCACTGGCCCCCCAGATTCCCTGGCTTGGGGGAAGCTGCAGCTGGCTGGCAGGGACCCAGGCCATGGCTGCTCCCAGCTGCAGAGCAGCCAGGGTCACATTCCTGGGATAGCTGGGAGCTTTGCTGTTCACACAAGGAAAGGTCATCCTTGTGCACACAGGCAGCTGGTGGGACCACCACGCGGGGTGGGCAGGGGAAGCAGCAGCCACGGGAGGCAGAGGAAGCTCAGTAGCTCCTGTCAGAGCTAAGGTGCTCCCTGGCTCCAGCCCAGCAGGATCCAGCCCTGGCACAGCTGACAGGCAGCTGCACACAGCTCTGAGCAGGGGGCAAACAAGGCTACAGCAGGACAGAAGATGGGAATTGCAGTAAAGCAGGGAGAGCTGATGGCACAGGAACACAATTTCTCCAGGAGCACCTGAAGGACAGGAGGGCCAAAGCCACAGAGGTGTCAGAGTGACCTGGGACTGGGACAGCTTTTACTGGTATGACACAAGAGCCAGCTGAGGACAAGAGATTTATTGGTCATTCTCTATATGCATTTATATATTAATCTGTAGTAGAAAGCAGCAGTCACTAAGTGCACAGAGCAGCACCAACTCCTGCCTTTTGTCACACTGGAGACCCAGCCACACAGCCCAATCCAAACTCATTCCCTTTCCTCCTCCGGGTTACAGCCAAATTCAGGGGTAAAAGACTAAACCTGCAGGCAGTGAGGCTGAGGAGCACAGTAGTGACTAGAAGAGTCTCAGCTGAGCCAGGATGAAAGACCTAGCTAGTGTAGACCCCAAGGGATGCAGGAGGAGCTCTGAACTGATCCCAAAAATACAGTCACTTATAGCACAGTGCTGGGAAAGGTAGGGACAGAGCCCTGAGGTTGTTCTGCCCCACCCAGGAGGTGAAGGCAGGACCACAAGTAGGAAGGATGGCTCTTCCATCACTGAGCCAGGCCAAAGGGCCTGGGCAAGCACATGGCAGGGCACAGCAAGTGCCAGAGAGAACCCAGGGCTTGGAGCAGCTGCAGGGATGGGGCACAGCCGTGGGCAGTGCTCCACCACAGCGACCCAGCTGGTGCATGGCAAGGAAGGCTGGTCCATCCAGCCTGGTGCTGGCAGGAGGAGCACAAGTGCAAGCATCCTCTGGCAGGGGAATGCCATGCTGGGATCCAAACACTCCAGGCTGCCAGTGGCAGGGGTGCCTGCCCACTGTCCCAGGTCTCAGGCAGTGCAGGACACAGGAGCTGGCCGGGCCTGTTTCATCACTTGATGAGCACCTGGTTGCAGAGCGCACACACGAACACTGTCTCCTTCTGAGCCTCCGGGGCTGGAAAGGAAAACAAATGTCACAGATGATCCCCCTTTCCCACAAGGAGCTAGGGACCCCAGCTGCTTCTAGAGCTGCAAATTCATCACTGCTCTGTCCTGAGCCAGGCTGTGCTGGGCACATCCTGTCTACCCTCCCCACCAGGGCTGGGGCAAACCCCTGGGCAGACAGAACAGGGGGAAGCAGAAGCTCTTCCCTCCACCTTTCAACTCACCCGTGGCTCCCATCACAGCCTTGGGGACCTTGAAGGAACAACACCTGGAGCAGAAGCTGTTCCCACAGTTACTGCAGCTCCGCTGTGGAGAAAGATGAAGGTGAGACCCAGATGTGTATCAGACTAACCCAGCAGTAAGTGAAGGGGGTCCAAAGTCCATACCTCCTCTTCCTTCAGAGAACTGCCCACAGACTGTGCGCCAAGCATTACACACAGGGTTCAGATAAGGCAACAGGTCATTCCCACTAGCAGACCCATGCTCTACTTCACCACAAAGGCCACAGGAAATGGACTAAACCAGGGCACAGAGCAGGTACCTTCTAAATAACATGTGGGTTTGGCCTGAGGCAGCCAAGAGGAGTAAATGGACAAATGCTCCACAACACAAAGGATCCCTGGTGCACATTAGGCATGTGACAACACCCAGCATTTAGCTGGGGTCATCTGGGCTGTGACCGAGGCCAGACACCTGAGCTGGAGAAAGCTGGGGCAAGCCAGACATGAGCAACACCTCAGCCCCAGGTGCAGACAGCAAGCTGGGGCAGAGCTGAAGACTCACCCTCTTCTTGAGCACAGAGAAGGTGGCAGCACAGCCTGTGCAGTTCCCTGAAAGAAAGAGAGCAGAGGTCAGGCAGGGCTCTGCTGCCTGGGGCTGCAAGTGGCACAAGAACATCTATAGCTGTTGTAAGGGCTCAATTCAGAGATGACATTGCTGCACCTTCCCGTTCTTGCCCTTCCTAGGAGTGCTGGGACCATTCTCCCCATGGAAGGTGGAAAAGGTCATTGGAGGTGTCACCACCTAGCAAGTACCACACCACCCTCTCCACTCCCAGGCCTACGGTCACCACTGGAAGCAGCACAGAACCCACGCTGCCGAGCTCCCCCAGGAAGCACCTGCTCCCAAACTCACCAAAGTTGTTGCTGGGGTAGCGCTTGCGCAGGCGCTCGGTCAGGCGGGACACCTTGCTGCGGATCACCTCATTTTTGCTCATAAAACCATTGTCTGGGAGGCTGAGGTCAAAATCTGCTGAGCACTGAGAGCTCTCATCATCCTCCTGCAGAGAGCAGAGCCAGCTGAGCACAGCAGGGTGGCTGGGGGCACACTGAGGGCTGCAGGGCAGCCCACACCAGAGGCAGGCTGGGTGCTCCACCTGACATTTCTACAAGCCACTGGCAAACCAGGCAAAGCTCCAGCTAGGAAGAGATACCACACCCTGGCGTGGCAGTACTCACCATGACCAGCAGCTGGTTCTCCTTCTCCCGCAGCATGGGACAGAGAGGAGAGTGAGTACACACAGATTCAGAGGCACCCAGCCCCACAGTCACTCTCTCTGAGCACCACGTTTGCCCAACAAGGTCTTTGTCCCTTTCCCACCCCAGCTGCCCGGCAGGCACAGCCCACCCCAAGCAGCCTCAAACCTCAATTGCATCTTTGAACTCTTCATCAGGTTCTGCCTCCTCTGCTTCCTCCACACTGCCAGGGGTAAGGTCCTACAAGAGATTCACAAAGATAGTCCTGCTGCTCCCCTGCCTCTCTTCGAAGGTGGCCCCACATTTCTGAGCAGGTTCCAGGACAATAGATCTGGCCCCAGGCAGCCTCACAGACAACACAAGTGTCAGAAGATGAGGTGAGCCCCTGCCTCCTCAGACCACATCCTTACATGTGGCAAAAGGACTGAGCCAAACCCCTACGGCAGAGAGCAGCATCCCAGTAACTCAGGAGTGGCTCACAGGCTTCCAGCAAAGCTGGCAGCTGGGAGAAGTTTGTATGTAGAGGGACACAGGCATGGTCCGACCCAAGAGCTGACTCTGCACTCCCACCCCACAAGTGCCAGCCCTGCCCCTATCTCACCTCTGCACTGGTGGGGGTGGGGGTCCGATCTGGGGCAGCAGCTGGTGGCAGGGATTCAGCAGGTTCAGGAGTGCTCTCGAGGGGTTTGGAGCCCACACACTGCTCGATGGAGGCCTTGAGCTCCATTATCACTGGTAACGAGGGGAATACAGCTGGAGTAGAGCGGCATTTCCCTACTCCCAGCCACACTCCCCCACAAAAGCCAACTGCAAGACCTGATCTCCAGGGCTCAAGGTGAGGCATTGACACATCTCATTCACTCATCAGATGTCTTGAGCACTTCTCTGTTCACACATCAAAGTTAGGGCAGAAAGGAAGCTCCCCCCCCACCTGCCCCAGCTCGGGACAGGGAACAGCAGGGGCCAACATCACAGCTCAGACACATCCAACACTCCTCCAGCACGAGCCACAGAAGAGGGCTCCTCTCCCTTCCAATGGCATGTTTTCAAGCCTGTGTCATATACTGCCACAGGCACTGAATGTGTTTGAAGTCCTGAAGAGTAGGGTCAGGGATCAAGAGAGATGGAAAGGCTCACACACAGCCTGCATTGACAGACCCTGGTTTGCCACACCACAGAGAAGGAAATGGCACCTGGGCTGGGACATACATCAGGAGAGACTCTCACCTCCAACAGCTGAGCCCCGGGACCATACCCCCCACCCTGGGCTGCTGAGCACCACCCCTAGGACATCACTGCCTTCATGGGGGTTCAGGTCTACAGCAGAGCCTGACATGGGACAGTGGGATCACATGAGGGAGAGGTCCAGGGAAGGATCCCTGGCTTCGGAGGGCCTTTTCCCAACCCATCCCACACAGGGCACTTCCAGACAGGTCTCATACCTTGGTAGAACTGGGTGTTGCCCAGAAAGAGGGTGCTATTGAGGATGGCCAGGACCCAGCAGAGGGGCAGCAGGTAGAGAACACAGATAGTGCCCAGTAGCACCCCATAAAACCTGCAGAAAGCAGCAGGATACTGTGGTCAAGTCAGAGCAACTCACACAACAGCATAAAACGCCTTCCTTCATCTGGTGTTCTATCTGTTCTCTCCAAGTACCAAACAAATCAAACACAGTACCGCAGGCCTGGCTGAGCCCCTCTCCCCACCAAGGCCACCACAGGGTGCCTGACTCAGTACTACTCACTGGGAAGAGACAGTGGGGTTCTCCCAGTAGAGCACACGGTACACTGCCTCACAGCTGCAGCACATCCCGTTCAGAAACCCCTCCAGCTGGATCAGGCTGCAAACAAGACAGTCACAAAAAAACCCCACAAACACACCCTCGTTCCCCACATTCTCGTGAGTTACAGAAGCCCCCACAGCCCCCCACAGCCTCCAAGAAGCCTTTCTGGCTGCAGAGGCCCCCCAGTCCCACCGCTGGGGAGGCCCAGGGACTCACAAGCTCTTGACCTGGGCGATGGCCTCCTGCCGCGAGAGCTGCACCTTGCGCAGATCCTCCCTGCGGATGCTGTGGTACCTCCTGCGCACCAGCTCGGGCTCCGAGGGCCGGGCCCGGCACGTCTCTTGCAGGTAACCCAGCAGGGCCGGCACCGCGACCAGCAGGGCCAGCACCGAGTACCAGGCAGCTGGAAGAGGCGGGACAGCGTCAGCCCGGAGGGTCCGGGAACGGGACCAGCCCTGAGCCCCGAGACGCACCTTGGCCGAGCGTGAGCAGGAGGAAGTTGAGGCCGAGGCAGACCAGGAGAGAGCACACAGGCCGCTGCCACCTGCCGAGAAGGGGGAAGGCCAGGGACATGAGACCCCGGGGATGGTTCCGGTCTCGGTCCCGGCCCAGCCCGCACCTACCGCAGTAGGGAGCGGACACCCTCGGCGGCGTCCCGCAGCGGCTCCAGGTAGAGCTCCAGCCGCCGGTAGCTCCGCACCAGCTCCAGCAGGTCGAAAGCAGCGGCAGCCTTGGGCGGCGACGGCTCCGGCGGGGCCTCAGCAGCCCCCGTCGCCCCTTCGGGGCCGCCTGCCGCCCCGTCCCGCTCCACCGCCTGCATGACGGGACCGGGAGCGGGAGCCGAGCGGCCCCGCCGCTCTCGGCCCAACACCGCCGCGCGCTCCCGTGACGCGGCCGGGCGCGCCGTGACTCCGCGCGCGGCCAA